AAAATGCAGATTTGATGAAGCTTAAGTGCTTTGTGGGATTCCATCAATTACATCTCAAAATTCATTGGGAAATTAGGAGAGCATATAATTTTGACAAGGTTGAAATGTTTTGGTTTCCATTGCCTAATTTTGTTTTCATTTCAGGCTGTGCGCTGGGATAATGCAATATATAACATAAAACTCCAGATGATAAAGTTGGAATTAAATGTTTTCCCCTCCTTCATAAAACGGAGATGTTGTGAACCAAAACATTTTGGAACTTGCATGTACGTGGGGAGTTTCTGCACAGCATTTTGGTTTGGACTGAAACTTCAAATACCCAATTCCCCCCCTGGAATACCAGGTCTCAGCATCATCCATTTCATTTTGAAGTACCTCCCCATGGTTCCCAAGCCACCCCCGGGTGACTTGTGCTGGAAGGAGAAGACCGGAGAGGCAGCTACTGCCGCACACCTTCATTTCTAATCCCATTTTTCCCTGAAACAGTTACGCTCTTAAATTAAGCTGCTCCTCTGCCCCACTTTGCAGCTGCTAAGGAACAGCTCATCATTTTGATGTGGAAGAGAGCAAAAGAGAAGGGTTAGCTCCAGACAAGCTGTGCTAAGGCTTATATGCCTGTGTGGACCATGCCAAATTTCTCTTCCTTCACCACCTAAAAAAGCTGGGACTGACACAGCACCGGTGTCACCATGGGCCACAACTTCATTAAGAGTCTCTCTGGGAGATGTTCTTCCGTCTGCATACTGCTGAGCCAGCAAACTCCCTCCTGCCTGGCAGACTGACTCCGTGACCATGGAAAGGAACAGTTCACATCATCCTGGTAGGCAGGATTTTTCTCACTCAAATTAGAAATAAGCCTATGCTAGAGGAACCTCAGTCTGTGAGCAGGGAGATGGTGCTGATTGGCAGGGTTTGGTGTCTGTGCAGAACAGCAGTGCCCACTGCCTGGGCTCCTTGGGCTCTCCCAGTGCTTGTCAACACCTCTTCCAAAGTGGGACAGATCCTGGAGCACAGCTATGCTGTGAGCCCTTCCACATCCACCTACAGTGCCTCTCCAGGAGGTCCTCACGGTGGTGAGACTCCCATCCTGAAAGGCACCACAGGGCTCAGACACTGCACAACTGTACCTGCCACTGCCTCCTCCTGCAGTGATGCTGAAGATGCTCAATGCGCACCAGAGGGGAATCACCCACCTCTTCGCTCACCTCACATACTTAGACCAATGTTCACCTTCCCTGGAAAAAAAAACTCACCCTTTTTATTCCTCTGGGGCTGCAATCCTGCCTTGCTGGGTCTTGCAAAAAGACACGGCCATGGGGCAGCAGTTCCAAGCAACCCTCCTTCTCCCCAGGCAGACAAGAAGACTGTAATCAGTGAGTGAAGCTGAGCTGAGAGACAGGTGGGGAAACTTGAATATAAGCCACATTACAGGTGTTTCCTTCAGCCTCTCAGGGCCAATTCATAGGTTTGCATCTCAAATTATAAATCACTGACACTTTTCCCTTTTTCAGCATCCTCCCTCCTGGATGAGCAGATACCACCGAGCTGGTAGAAGAGATCAATGTATATTCCTTTACTAGCAATAATCTGACTTACTCCTCCAGTTTAGGTTGCTGTGATCCCTGCAAGATGGTACAAAAAGCACATTGGACTCAACAAGCAGAGCAGAGCCACCAGATTTAGAGAAGTTCACTGGGATTTTGTTTTCTTCGGAAATGCCCATGACTTCCCCAGACCTGACAGCAATTCTAGGGTGCAAGTAGGAAAAAGCAGCAGAGAAACACGTCTTCTAGAGCTTGGGGGTTGTTTTGTTATTTTGGCAGGTAGGGCTCAAAGGCAAGGCATCAGTTAGCAATGCTAAGGTCCTTGCAAGGTTCCAGCTCACACTTCTTAACATTACCCAAAATAAAAAAGCCTCCGATAAGAAAAGAACTGCAGAAAACTTTTATGTACTAATGCCATCTACTGGGTACAGGTAAAAATAACAGAAAAGCCATGAAAAGAGGGGGGGAAAAAGGGCCCCACAGGAAGTGTGGGATGGAAGCTGGGGAGCTGTCACCCCTCCGGGTGGGCATCCCACTGCAGAGCCTTTGGGGTCTTTCAGGTGCCACCTTGTAGGCAGGATTTTAACCCAGCAAAGCAACGTCCCCATTTCTCCTTCAGAAATCCAAGGAGACCGCCCTCAGAGAGCCTCCACCACGAACTGCACGAAAACTGCCCTCGACATTTTAACCAAGTCCTTTTAAGGCCAAACAATTAGGTAATGGCAGAGCTAAAAAGCCCGAAGATAAATACATCCCCAGTCCACACGGAATTACTGGAAGCTGTATTAAGGGCACGAAGGAACTGGTAACAGATGATGATTATATATAAAAGGAATAAGAAATCTTTGAGATTTGTGCAGTTCCCTGGTTGAGCTGCTAGGCTCCAGCTTGGCTGTGTATTAATTGCTTACAAGGCTGCATGTATATTTTATGCTCAGTACCTGCCTGGAACATTTGTTGGATTTAGCCTTGATTGATGAACCACTGATTATATACTTCTGTGGTCCTCGGCAAATTAATAAACTGTTGACTTGTAAAGATTAACAACATGTCATGATTCGCGAAACAGCGTCCAGAGTAAAGCTCGAGCAAAGCTAGTGCTAAAATTAGTACGCGAATGCTCCCTGAACTCTATAAAAAGGGGATAGCTTAATTAAATTACATCCCGATATTGCCCATAGCACTTACCAAATTGGCAAATTGAGTTCACAGCAGTTCAGCTTTAAAACTGACTGGCATCCCTGAAAATTTGCAGCAAAGGACCCCAGCCCTGCTTGCTGGAAGCCCAGCTCACACCTGACAGAATTCGGGAGCAGGAGTGGGGTAAGGAGGGGACTCATTGCCCAGTGCAGGGACCAGTGCAGAAGGTGCCGCAAGGTCACATGCTGGGGCTGCAGCAAGCTCCAAAACTCAGCTTCTTTCACCTGAGAAACCCACTCAGTACCACAAGCACTACCTAGGGCTGGGGACAGCACTTTAGGCTTTTCCTCAGATCAACAGCCACAGACCATGGTCAGAAACATGGGGCAGTACCCCCCCCAGACCTCTGCTGTGCTGTTGCTGGGACATACAAGCAGAGGATGAATGCAAAACATCGCATGGGAATGGGAGAGCTGGGACTGCTCCTGGTGTCAGCTCAATGGGAAGTGGGGAGAGACACGGAGTGGAGTGGAGGTGCAACAGCCATCTCCAAACTCCCCCTGGGGAGCTCAGCTCTGCTGTCCCAGGCTACAGCTGGGACTGTGGATCTGGGGGAGCTTCACCCCACAACCAGGGGCTGTGAAGAGGGGCAGAGTAGTCACACTCCTGCAGCAGGGAGACAAAGGGGCAAAGAAGCAGACTGGGGAGAGACAGGCATCACTATGTTCATCTTCTGTCCCCATGGGATGCATGGCCCCCAGGATCCCAGTGGGGGAGCACAGCAGAGCGGGGGAGGGCCCCCATGGCATCTCTTGCCCACAGCTCTCAGAGAGGGGAAGCACTCCAGGGCGATTGCTCCTGCTGCTTCTTTCCTCCCTCCTGCCTGTGGTCTGTTCTCTTCACAGAAAGCCTCATTTAGGCATTACAGAAGTGTGGGGGGGGTTATTTTCCCCAGGTGACAGAGTTTTCAATTTCTGCCTCTCCATGCACCAGTGTGGCAAGCACTAGGCCTGTAATTTATTGACAATTTCTATCTTAATATATCCTGACTTTTAAAAAGAGGCATCTCTTCCCAGCAGCACAGGGCGATCAGAGTCCTGATTGCTTGTGACAGTGTCTGCGAGCCATGTTGGTGTTCACAGCAAAATTACATCCCAAAAAAGGGGAAAAAAATCCCAAAAGACCAGAAAGGCCCTGGAAAAGGGAATAAAATAAAATGTCAATGGGAAAAGAAAGCAGGAAAGGGAAAGGAATGGCAAGGGGGAGATGGCACCAGGCGCTGCTGGTGACACATCAGGCTGTCGTGCTAAATGGCCTTAATAAGCAATTGGAGAAGGGGATAATGAAAATGCCACCCCTGGGATGGCCCCGCTCTAGCCTGACCTTTCCTGACTGCCGTGTGTAAACATCTTCAATAAATAAAGAGACACTTAACTCCCGCCTCCACCGAGATGGGGCGTCGGGGGATCTGCCTGTGGTGCAAGGGAGAGGAAGGCACAGAGGGGTTTGGAGGGGTGGATGTAGGTTTGCAGGACAGGCGAGGGCGCGATGAGCTCTGAACCCCCTTGGATGTTACCACCCACTGCCTGGCAGGCAGATGGCTCCTACAGCAGACAGATGAGAAGGGATGCTCCAGGTTTCCCCAGTTTCCCAAGGCTCTTCTCCCACACCTCTGTGTGTAGTACTGGATTTGCACAAGCTCTGCATGCAGGGAGGGAGTGATTTTGCTGTCAGGGAATATGGGTTAGAGCCGGGAGAGGTGCTGACCTCTGCTGCTCCCACCTGGAAGAGTGGTGAAACCCCTCTGTGCATCGATGGCTGGGAGCAATTCAGAGCCTCTGCCCAAAACCAATGGTTTGTGGTCAAAGAGGTCTTCTGCAGGGGGACTGCAAAACCTGGGACCTCATCGGTTGTCTGGCAAGATGTGAGCATGTTCAGAAACAAATCAAAACTCTGAGGGTGGCGGAGAGGCACAGAGCAGGAGAGGATGCAGAGATGCGTCATCTTTCTCCCACGCTGGGAAGCACAAGACAGGAGAAAAAGCGTGACTGCTTTCAACCTGTGCTTTCTTGACAAGCAGGAAAATGACCATCAGCCCCAGGCATTTTTCTTCTGCTCATCTGAGCCCCCAGGCTCCTTCCCTGATGTCCTTAAGGCGTATGTGATTTGATGTGAAAGCCCCAGGGTGGGGAGGAGCCCACCACCAGCACACACATCCCCTCGACCACATCCCCAGAGAGGGAGCAGGCAATGTCCCTCTCTGGCTCGTCCCCAAACCAGTCAGCAGCCCCGGGGGCCAGCAGCCACAGTACCTACCACACAGCCTGTCGAGTCCACCTTGCGATCTGAAACACACTTGAAGTTGCGAGTACAGCCACCGTTGTTGCGGGAGCAATCTCGGACAGGCCCAAAAGAGGAGAGCAAGTCATTGATGGTTTCGAAGTAGGTGGACAGCATCGCTTCTTCCCTTGGAGAGAAAAGGCACCGTTAGGGCTGGCAGGGAGCTGGCAGCACATCCACAGGGCAGGGCAATCCACAGAGAGAGCTGCTCTGGCAAAATCACGGCATTTTCATTAGCAAAATCCAAGTCAAACGAAGCTTCCCAAGAAAATTAAGGCTTTGTGATTATGCTCTTTGTAATAAATTTGCTGCATAACATCCAACCCTACGCTAGACAACAGCAAATCCATAACTGTGAAACTCCTGAGCGTTTCACAGCTGGGTTGAGCCTCTTCAAGCACCCACACCTTTTCCATCACTTACGGCCACTGCCAAAGCTGGAAAACCACATGAAACTTGACTTCCCACTTGCTGGGATGTGGATGCAAAGGACCATCCCTGTGCAATGGGTTACTTGGAGCAGGGGGTGCAGGGATGGGTGCAGGCACATGATGGCTCTGCAAAGCCCTGGTCACAGCCACACTGTGACTTCCCTCTCTTAAGCAAGTGAGAAGTGTAAACGTCTGTGAATTTACTGGCCATCTTCAAAGCACATCTGAGATATTAACTGATATCTGCAACCTATCTTGGGCAACAGATCCAGTCACCCTTTCACTGCTGAGAGAGAGACAAAGCCATTTACCCAAGGCCACAGGACAAGTCACTTGACCTCCACCCCCTAATTATTACAATAATCTCCCAGGGGAAGTGGTAAATTCCCCTACACTGGTCAGTTTTAAGAGTCAGCTTGACAGGGCGCTGACTCATTTAAACTGTACTTTTACCTTGAGAGGTTGGACTGGATGATCCTTGTGGTCCCTTTCAACCTGATATTCTATGATTCTGTGACATCTTTATACACAGGGGCCTGCAAATAAACACTGACCCCTCTGACCTTAAAATACCCACTAAGGCAACACTAGGAGTCACAGGGGGGATTTATTTCCCTTTAGCATCTCCCTTGCTCTCCCATCAGCACCTAAAAAGCTACACAATGACTCATGCCCAGTGCTAGTCTCTCTTTTTTGGGTTTTTTATCAATTTGAAAATCATGTGCTTGGCAATGAAACAGCAATGGAAGAATATTCAGCAGCCCTTGAAGACCACAGTGCTGCATTATCCATCAGCGGAGGGCCCCTGTGTGCACACACGCCGTCACACACACGCACACAACCCTGCCAGCACCAAACGCTCGAAAAAATCATGAGTCAGGCATTAAAAAAAAAATGTAGTGAGATTGGCATAAAAATGATGAGATTTTAAAAATAAATCAATTGCTGGGTGGTGGCTTTTTTTCCTTCCCCTAAATTTGTCTTCTGCTTTCTGAGTCTTTAGGGTGTAATTGAGCTTTTCCCTGCAACCTTGAGGGCTAGAAACTACCCAGAGACCAAACCCAAAGAAATAAATCCCTATGCAGTATTGAAGTCACAATTTTGCAGCTTCCAGATTTCCAGGTGATCACAGGATTCCAGAAGCTGGGAATTTCAACACAAAAAACACCATAAAACCAGTAAGATCTGGTAAATTGGCACATCCCTGCTTGGATGGAGGTGGAGGTGGAGGGCAGCTTCTCCCCTACCATGGGTTGGAGTGGATGAGTTACCCCAGCACTGGGGTAGCTCCGTGCTCACCCCGGTGCCTCCAGCTGCATTGCTGCCCTGTGTATCAAATTCATGTCTGTGCTGCCCACATTCACCCCAATTAATGCTTCCCAATTAACTTTTCCCTCTTGGCAATCATGCTTCTGATATTCCCCTTCTCTTGGCCCTTCTCCTAGATTTTCCAGCATATTTGGAGCTGAATCTCCCACTGTCCTTTCTTGGTCATGTTTCAAATATCTTTAGAGGCCCTTTTCTATTAGCACTCTGTTCCCACCAGAATTTGCAGCTCCTCTGAAGTGAGGGAGTGAGAAAGCCAGAATATATTAGATCAGGACACAATATTGCTGCTTGAGAGATGAGGGGAGAGAAAGGGCATGTTATTTACTTACCAAAAAATGCTGTTTATTAACGCAGAGAGAATTATTTAAATTAAAAAAAAAAAACCAACAGCAAACTATGACAACTACTCCACCGCCCACCCGGGAAGCTCAGCCCCATCTGGTCCTCCCAAGGGGCTTCTCATTCTAGGTGGACTGCAAGAAGAACCATGCCCCTGTCCTCCCTCCTGGCTTTTCTGTTTGACCACCAAACATTCAGACCCTCCTGCACTCCCATGGTCCTGGAGGGAGAAGGTGAGGAGCTATGGCTGCCCTGGGTGATGGAAAGGAGACCTCGAGGCTAGATCTTTGGCCAGGGCAGCTCCAGAGAGCTGGAGCACTGCTGGGAAAAGCCAGCTCATCCTGCACAGCACCATGCTCCTGGGCTGGGGCTGACAGGGGCAGCTCGTCACACTTTTAATTAAAACCTGGAAGCACAATCCAACCTTCTGCCTTGGGAGGCCAGAGGACAAGAACAGAAGCCTTGCTTTCCAAAATCGTGTCTGGCATAATAGGTGACCCCCAACAAAACACAGGCAGGGGCTGCCGAGCTGGAATGAGCCATTAAGCATATTGAAATATTAACCTCGCTGGAAGGTAGGGACGAGGAGCCAGAGGGAGGCGTTTTAATGTCACCTGTGAGAGGAGTGGGGTGACGATGCTGTCTGCAGACCCAGGGAGGCTGCTCGGCCGGATCCCTTCTGCGTTAGATCAGAGCAGCATCACTTCAACACAGTGCCCTGACAAGGGGATGTCAGCAGATGAGAGGGCTGATGCGATGCTTGGAGCGAGCTGGGAGCAAACTTGGCTTTGTCTGCCTCTGGAGGGACCGGCAGAGCCAGGCTCAGTGCAGACAGGCACTGCTGAGCCTTTGGCACTGACAGCCTCAGCAGCTCCTTTTAATTTTGAGGGGTGAAGAGCAATAATGAATTACCCACTTCCCCTGACAATGGGATGGGCGACACGTGGCACAGAGCAGATGACTTTCCCACCCATGCAGCTCCAGCAGTGACACCTGCCTGTCCCTCCCTGCCCACTGCATGGCACCACAGCCTCCAAATCTCAGAGCTGGCACTGGAGAGCAGGCAGTGCCAAGGCAGGGGATGCTTGAGGAGCGATGGCAGCGTCTGGCCGCCACTGCGCGGTGCCCACGGGAGGGACCATCCCTCCCCACCGCCCAGACATGCCAGATTAGACCAGCCCTGATGGATGAATCACTTTCCCTGCAGTAACAAGCTGCCTGCAAAGGAACAGCTCTTTCTTCTTGTTCTCCATCTATCCGTATTGCATTTCACCGAGTGATCCTTAGATCTGTTCTGACAAGGCAGGATGGAGAAGATCGGCTCCGTGGTTCACATCGTGCCCAGAGCACACTGCAGAGTCAGGGGAAGCTGCCGATGGCCCTGGCTGGACCCAGGTGCCAAAGCCACAAGAACCAGGCAGGGCTCAGTGTCCAGCATGCTGGGAGGATGGGACAATTCCCATCGGCCTGAAGCAGATTCTAGGTTCCATCAAAAAGGGCGTTTTGGAGTGAATGACCTGATTCCTGGTGTCAGGTTCTCTCTGCAAGCACATGCACTTTTATGAACGCACGCACATGCTCTCTCTTTAGCTCTCCAGCCCTCTCAAATTCTCACACAGATGCCCAAATGATTTCCTTATAAATTAAATGCACTCCCCTCCCTACCAGGGCCCACTGATTACACTCCCAGCATCAGTAAAACCCACTTTCCCAACAATTTCTATTGCCACAAATAGCAGTGTGGTGCACGACAGCTGGGCTCTCCACCTGACTTTGTACAGCTCCCGGGGTGCAGACCATGACACTCATCCTCATTCAGCCCTATGCCACCTCCTATCACCCACACTCGCCTTGATTCCCTCAAATATATTTTTCTACTTCCTCCTATTTCGTTGTAGGCTCTCAATTAGTGAAGCAGATTCAGTGACAAATATTGCTGGGGGTTATTTATTCATGAAATACCAACACCGTGCAATTCTCAAAGCCTCTAAAGCACTCATCTCAGAACAAGCTCCTGAGTTCGCAGTGGCTCTTGTCTCCAGCCCATCCTGGAAAGGGATTAGTGGGTGTTACCCAACTCAGCTGCCCCTTTTTATTGTCTGCTAAGGGTTAAACACTTCAGTATCTTACAAAGTTAACCATTACTGAGAAAAACAAAGAAAAGGATTCAAGCTGAGGACTGAGCCAGTGCTGCTCTACCATCTGCTCCTCGAGCTGCTTGGAGAAGGATTACGGGGAGATTTGGGGTTCATGAGTTTCTAGACACAAAGCCTACTAGTAGCAAAAGGCATGATGCTGCATAACCTGCAGCTTCATCCCAAAGGAGGGACCGGTACAGAGCAGGGATTGAAAACCACCCCCCAGGACCCCCTGCGTCACAGCTTCTGTACACTGGGTATTATGTTCTTCACACTTAAGCAAGGGAGTCAAGGCAACAAGAGATCAGGAGTAGAGGTGCTCACCACCATCGGATGGCCAACTGGAGATGCCTTCTGATTTATTTTTAGTGATTTTAGCACTTCCCACAATCACAGCACAATTCCAACTGAGTTTGAGTGCATCACAGGCTCTGCTGTTCCATATAGAGGGCCATAAAATTAAACACCCAAATGATGATGAATGTATGGTCACCTCAGAAAAGTGGTCTCTGATTTAAAGACAACAGAATATGGGTGGTTTTTTCTGGGATTTCAATCCTTTTCTTTTTGATTCTGCCTGCAACAAGAGCCCAGTCTCTCTAAATCCCTCTTCTGCACCCACTGCACAGTTTACTGCGTCCATAGTGAATGCAGCAACCATCTCCCACAGCACTGACCCATGAGCTATCTCCTGAGCAAGTCCAATCATGCACTGACCAAGCTGGGACGCTCTGGAAAAGTTGATCTCCAGCACAGGAGGACCCAACGAGGTGGTGGCAGCTTCTAACTCAGGGATAATACAGCCTGAAACTTTGGCATGCTTAGCCTCATGTCTTCAACCAGCTTTCTTAGTGTGATGCCTGAAGATGTGCATGCAAGAGAGTGGATTT